GTGAATTTGAACCATGTTCCTCTGGGATTGCAGTGCAGTTTCTTGCCACTAGGCCACCAAAGCTCTCTGCAAGAGAGTACTCTTGTGAGCCCAACCACATGTCCATCCCATCTTGTTAGCTTAAGGTCTCCTCAGAGAATGAACCAAAGAAATGGCAGAACCTCCAAGGCCTCCCCATTGTTCATTTCCATAATTACCCAAAGGGACCAGAACATGATTTGCTAGAAGCTTTGGAGGGTAGCATGACTAAAGAGTGGGGAGAGTGAGTTGTTGAAAACTCAAAGGAAAGATTATAGAACATATAATTAATGTTTATGTCGAAAACTGACCTCCGTACATCAACTATGAGATTTTCCTAAGGCTTCCTGACAGGGAGAGGAGGAATCAGTTTCTTAAGTGTTTGAAGAGCCCTCTCCCTTTTATTGCCTTAGAATGACAACCAATTATCTTTAACAAAATTATTTAGGAGGGTTCTGTGTGCTTGTTTCATTCAGCAAGAAGTTGAAGGGAAGGAGGTCCCATCTCTTAACCAAATCTGGAGGTAAAGTGACTCAGTGTTTGGGTAAGTAATGGCTCCTGGAAATAAAGAAGTGAATGAGTTAAGTCACTTGGATCATTGGGATACCTTAGAGGGCCTCCCAACAGGTAATACAAAGATGGCAAAGGCTAGACTAAACCAGTTAAGGAGCAATGGGCAGCAAACTGAGTAAGCAAACATCATCATAATCCTTTCTTTACCCTTAGAAGAACCCAAAATGTGTGTTGACAGACCTTTGAGGATGCTACATTAGTGATAGACAACATGAAAACCTTGACCTTTAAGAAAATAATCTCAATTATAAATTTTCCACATCTAAAATACATCTTTTAATAAAGTCCTTTCCATGAGTTCTCTTTTTGCAGTGTATTTACACGAATACATTGTTTATCAGACCATGTTTTTCCAATTTCCATTGCCCTCCCACCTAGATGTAATTATATAAGTAGAAAATAATGACATAGATTCTTCCCATATTGCAACTTTCAAGAGAACACTAAATCTCTCATATCACAGTAGAACTGTGGAATGTCTAAAGGTTAATTTTAAATAAATTAATATGCTTATTTGTAAGCAAGGATAAGTGGAGAGTTTAAAGGAGAAAATATAATTTATGCCACAATACCAGCAATTACTGAAGACTCTTTTTGGAGCTTTAGATTATATAAACATTTATTCTTTATAATATATATATATGTATAGCAAACCTCCATCAGGTGTCTGAGGCTGTAACTCATTCTAGGAAGACATTGCCTTGTCTTTTTCCCAAGGAGTGTGTGGTGAATGAAAACTGCTGATATTTTTGTTTGTTATCCAGTATGTAATGCTTATGCTGCTAGAGCTCGGAATATAATATATACACCTATATAATATATAGGTAATGGTGATATTGTTTACCATCAAGTTGGAACCAAAGCATAGCTGACCCTGAATCAGCTTTTCAGATACAGTAAATCGCATGGGAGGAGATTGTTAATCCTTCTCCTGCATATAGCTATACTGTCGATGCCCAGTGGTAAGAATCTGCACTGCACTGCACTGCATGTGGTTCGAATCCACCAGCTGCTTTGAGGGAGAAGGGAGAATCTCCTCCCTTGTGGTTACTGCCTCTGAAAATGCGCTGGAGGGTCAGCTATGGGTCAATTCCTACTCAATGACATACAACGACATCACCACCATAAATATATATATAGGTATCAAAAGTTTATTCATTATTTTTTTTATGATTATATAAATTATTTAAAAATCAGTAGCAATCCTTGGAGTCTGGAAGAATACACAAGGGAGTTGACAGATCTCAAGATAGTCAGAACAAACAAAAACACACTACCCCCTCCCCACAAACCATGTCTAATTCTGTCAGCCCACTATGATTTTCAATAGTGAGTAGAAATTTGACATATGTATTTTATCTGTGTGCCATCTCTGTTTATTTACACAGAGGTTTATTCACTCATGATATTCCAAACCACAGGAGAACCCTTACATTATTCTGTAGTCTCACTTTGTCTTTCCTTTTACCTTTAGGTTTAATGAAATATTAAAGAAGTAAATATTGAGATACATGCTTAAATGTAGGCTGAATATGTATATTTTACATTGCCTTCTCTCTCAAGGAGTTGATTCTACAAGTAATTGTTTTGTTTACCTACGATAAATTATTTGGAAAATAAATTAGATATGGAAGCATTCAAATTAGAACTAATTTTTTTTCCAAAAGCTCTGAGCAAGTCATATAATCTTCATTAGAATCTTAACCAAAGGTATGTAACGGCGTATATTCCATATCATTAACTTTATATCAAATTTGGAATTTTTAAAGTTTCTCTTTCTCTGACGACTTCAAATGCTTTCCCACGCCACAAAGATAGTTTCCTTAAATTGAATTTTTTAGCATAATTCTATCTAGGCTCACTTTTCCTCATGCAGATTGCCTGTCTGTTTCCCCCTACTCTTATTAAATCTTCCCATTATCCTCTTATTATTTTTATATGTGTGCATCTTTTCAACCCAATTGCATTATGAAGTTATCAAAGACAAGGACATGTTCGGTTTGTTCCCCACTGAGCCTACATGGAACTCTGATTTTCCTTCTGGCTACACTTCAAAAACATTTCCATCATCTTGAGTCTGTGCTAGCCTTTAATGTGTGACATTAGCGTTGAGTTCAAAATTGTAGGAGCTTTACGGTGAACTCACGTTTTAACATTGCATTGCTAATTTAGAGATCATTGTCACCATACACAGTAGTTTAATATAAACACCAGGCTTGTGATTGATTCTTGATTCTTCCTTAAGTCAGACATAAGAATCGTGGTTACTTGCCATTTCAGATAATCTGGCCCCTCCTTTAAAATTTCTTTTGCACCTATAGGTGCAAAAGGAGCCCATAGTGTTGGTCAACAGTTACGTATAGCATAGCATGAATCTCAAGTGAGGCTGTTTATCTTCTGATCCAAGTTCCCGAGGTACATATTTTCAGATCAGAGCAAGAACAACTCTTCACCTTGAAGCAGCAACCTTCAGAGCATGTGGGGTTTACCCTTCAAGGTGGAGTTTCAGGGGAGCAAGAATCATATTTTCGAGATGCTTTCTAAGTGAAGACCTGTGGGACACTTACAGCTTGACCTCGTATCTTTGAAATGAGAAAGGGCCACGCTCTGCTACTGTGGGATGCATAGTGGTCCAGCCTCCACAGGTCCATAGCACTCACTTTCCAACCCTATCTGTGGAAGAGTGTGCTGAGCATGCCTACACCAGCTTTCTGATGGCCCAGCCCTGGGGAGAACTACATGCAGATGGCATGTGAACACACTGGCCTTACTAGTATTTCAAAACAATTCTTTTCTATCAGGAAAGAGGAAGTTGCAAATGGATTCCTCTCCATCCTGTAAATTTTCTTGCCATCAGTAGCTAAAAAAAAGAGAAAGTGTGAAGGTGGTGGTGGTGGGGAGGAGGAAATAGTAAACTGCCCCTACCAAACAAAAAAGTACTCAGTCTTTTCCTGCATGCTTTACTAAGTTGTCCAAGCCTTTGGTTAGGCTGAAAATGCTTAGTTTGTGCTCACCTGTCACCCTATCCCTGTATCTTTTCATAAACAAAAATGTATCAAATAATGTATATCTTCATAATGATCCATGAAATTACTTCCTAGAGGAGCTCAAACAAAAACTTGTCCTGTTAGTACATGTTTGTAGTATTAACACATCAGAGGAGTGAGAAGGTATTGGGTGTATAAGTGAGCTGATGCTTTTGAATAAGCAGTGATCACAACATGTTAGTAGAACTCCATTGACCATTAGTGACACAGACTGGGTAGCACCAAAAGAAAGACATGTTGAGTTCTTGAAACAGATAATCATTGCTTCTGATTTAGGAACAAATGCCCAACCCAACACTCAACCATTATTCTTCAATAATGTTATCCCTGGTGTGGGTGGGAGTAGGACCTGAGAGAAGAGAGGGAATTCAACATGTTTAAAACTCTAACTTCGGAGGGGATGTTGGACAAACTGTCTCCAGAAAAATGTAGAGAAAACAAAACCATTATTCCCAGGAAATAGCATTGATAACGGTCCTCAAAAATCGCATTATTGTGCATTAACATTGAGGATCAGATGTTTTGACTCTTCAGCAAGCAAGTTCAGAGGAGAAGAACTTGATTTTGTGTTCCTTTTTAAAATCCCATATTTCTGAATGCAATTTTGTAGAAGTGTGAGTAAATTCATAGAAGAGCTCCCTCTCTGCCCGCCAATTTTGATGAAGGAAGCTTGGGCTATGATGAAAATCTGTAGATATGCCAGGTGGTCTCCCAGGCAGGACCTTCGGTACAGCTGTCAGCCTGTGACCAGAGCAAGTAAGGTCCTTCCACAGTAGAACAGTTTTCACCTTTCTTAAGAACCTCTGAACAACATGCATTTAAATATCAATGCCTTAGATCAGAAGTTGGGAACTTAAAGCCTGTGGGCCAGATTTGTTTTTAGAAATAAAGTTTTATTGGGGCGTAGCTACACTCATTTGTATTTACATTGTTGTGGCAGTTTTCATGCCATTCAGAGCAGGATTAAGTAGTGGCAACCAAGATTACCTCTCAGTTCCTTAACTATTTACTGCCTTGTCTTTTACTGAAAATATTTCTCACTCCCTACCCTAAGTTGTGTTGTTCATTGTTGAACTTAGGTATGGTAGAGCCTCAAAAGAGATCTTGCTTAGTTTAACACTAAAGCCATAATTAAAGAAAGAAAGCAGGTTTGGGGGTTCTTTTTAAAGCCAAATGAAATTTGTAATTACATCAAAAGCTAAGAAAAAAAAGAAAAGAAGCGCAATACATATCACTCTTCTGACCATGCAATTTGATCTCATCTTGCACAACAGAATAATAGGCCATTCGTATCACGCTTGAGCAACAATTTCCAAATTCTCTAATTGGAAACATGACAAAAGACACCTTAATAAGTGGCCCACGAAGCACCTAAGCAGCTCATTTATTCAACACCTTCAGCAGCTGTTAAAGACAGAGGAAAACAAGGGTCTCCACAGCTTCTGTTGCCATCTCCTTAAATGGTTCACTTTTGCTTGCATTATTGAACACTAAAAGGTACACATTTACATTTTTGATTGAGAGTAAGGTGCAATGAGGAGATTTAATCAAAGCAACTTAGGAGTCTAATTAATGCAATCAGCATTAGGTCGTGCAAATATTGTCATTGAATGCCATCGTGTAAAGCCTGTGACGGTGATTTGGGCTACTGAAAGCTTGACCCCTCTGCTAGTAAAGAAAGCCTAGAGGGGAGAGACAGAAACTGAATGCCAAGACCAAAGCGAGATGACTCTTCCCATGTTTTAGCTTTTCTTATGAGTGATTTACTAACTTTATAAAAAAGATCTTATTTAGCTAAAATTCTTGATGGGTTGTATCCCGTCAAAACCCCGGAAGTCTAATTTCTGGAAAAATGCTGTCGTAGGGTATTATTAAAAAGGGTAATGGAATTGCATTATGTCCAGTCTCGTCAGTGGAAAGGAGTGGTAAAAGGTAAATTCTTTTTGGCATTAAGGACGCCAGTAATTCATTAAATACAACCCTAGCAGCCTAAAAGAGAAAATTTCTAGGAATGGAGGGGCACTGTTTGCTACTTTTCAAGGGCATTAAGCTTATTATTTTACTTACTGAGTGTTTCGAGCACATCAGCCACCATAGCACTTAATCGAGCTCCACTATATTTTTATTTCATCCGGCAGCATGGCTATATACTTTACGTAGTCATGGAAATGAGCAGCACCATTACCATGACCTTTATTCTTGGTGAGTTCATAGACTTTCTTGTATCTACATGGAACATATTAGCATATTCTCTAAGATTAGCTCTATGATACTTAAATTTATGTTCGTAGTCTGAAGCTTCGTCTGACATATTTTGGACATGTTGCAAGGCTAGACTAGTCCTTGGAGAGGGGTGTCATGCTTGGGAGACTGGAGGGACAGTGCAAGAGAGGAAGACCCTCGATGAGATGGATTGAGTCAATAACTGGGGTAATGGGGTTAGGTATGTCAGAGATAATAAGATTGGCACAGGATAGAGCAGAATTTAGGACTATTGTACATACGAGTCAACACACAACTCGACGGCACATAACAACAACAACAACAGTTTGTTTGGATTTTTTCCCTCAAGAAAAGGATGTAATTGCTGTGTATTCAAGACTCCTTCCTAGTCCAAAGAAATCACATCATGATGAATGTATATATGTAATATAGTAAAGCCAACCTTTTGGTATGTACTCTAAGATTAACATCCTAGGGAGGCATTATTATGTTTAACTTCCATCACATGTAAAAGACTGATGATAGCAAACGTTTCTTCTTCTTCTTCTTCAAAATGTGTTATGAGAGACACTGGAAATGGAGATAAAGATCCTTAACTACTCACCCTCTTTTTTTACTTATCATTTTGATGAAAACTAACCAAAATTTCTCTGGCATGTTATATAGCAGATTGTTGAATTTTAAGTTTTGACTTTGTGACTTTTTAAAATTGCCAAAGAGAACAAGTTATCGCTTTTCAGAAAGAGATTGGTGTTGGAAATTGGCATTCAGTTAATGACTCGAAAATTTACGACAGTGCTCTTCAATCCCACGTCCCATTCCTTCACACGATGGCTTCAATGCTCAGTCCCACTCACCATTGTAGTTTCTGCTATTGACCCAAAGCTGTTGATAAATATGTTGCAGGTAACATTTACAGGAGGCCCTGCAAGTTGAACAATAAATAGAAAATTTGACAGGTTGTGTTCATGGCATAATTAAGTCATGTTTTTCTCTTGCCAGTGGCATTGTAGCACTTACCATGGTGGTTTCTGTGACCGATCCAAAACTGTTGATAAAAATATTGCAAGTAACGTTTACTGGAGGACCTGCAGAATGCAATAAGAATATTGCAATAGACATTGAAGCAAAAATACAGCTCCATCAACATCTGTGCAAATGGCTAGAGATGTGGTTAAAATGAAAACCATGGTGAGATTGCCAAGAAAACTTTTACCCAGAGATTGTTAGTGGTCAAATTCCCGCTAGTGTTTCAGGTGACAGCTAAGCAATGATAACTTATCCTGAAGAGTTTTAGATTTGGAAAATACAAACTGAAGGATATTAAGCTGACAAAAATTTTTTTGCATCTTTCTTTTTCATCAACATTGTAGGCATTGACATTGTTGACATCAACAGATAACACCCTCCATGGTACTGAGATAGCTGAGGCCATGGGGTCAAATGAAGTAGCATCTTAAATTGTAGATGCGTCAGGACATTTACTTTTTGTGTAACACGTTTTAATCACATGGGCCTCCTATGATTCGCTTGACACCTCTGAAGTTACCCCTTGAATGCCTCTGATTCTCAGTGAAGCGTGATGTATGTAAACACAAAAACAAAGAAAATGAACTTATGCTGAGACATTAACACAGACAGGTGTCACTTAATATCCATGATAGTTCCATAAGACAGAGTATGAGGTAAGCTATTAACATCCTACCTGTGTTTGGAGCCAAGAAAGAAACCGATTTTCTCTGCAAAGACCCAAGGACTAGCCCTATTTCAGCTCCTTTTCCTTTTCCGTTTGCCCTTCTAAAACAGGCAAATCTGACATTTTCGAGTGTGTCAGGGAGGGAGGGCGAGGCGGGGGAGAGAGGAAGGGGTAGAGAAAGAGAAGGGGAAGGAGAGAGAAAGGGAGAGGGAGGGCAGGAATATGTACAGCAAAAAATAGAAAATTTAAACACTTTCCCCATGTGCAATTTTGTTTCTATCATCTTGAAGTTTTACCTGTACTTGATGTCCTTTCAAAATTTCTTTGACCGCTATTAAAGTCCCTGTCCCCTAAGCTTCTCGGCTAACCTTTTGAGATGCTATTGTCACTTTGAGCCCACCTATCTAAACCTTTGAAAAAGTCGTTATTGTGTGCCTTTGAGTTGGAACCAATTCATAACTGACTTCCCAGTGGGTTTTCAGAGGCAATAAATCACACAGGAGTAGACACACTAATTAGGCTACATTCTTATTAGTTTCAAAGGGGAAAGTTCTGGTTTGAGGTTCAAGGTTTAAAAATCATTCTCAGGACTGCCTTAATGTTTTGCTAGGGAATATACTTGTCTCTGGGGAGTTTTTTTGAACACCTTTTTAGGTGTAAATATACTGCTATGAGCTATATGTTCACTAACTGTTCTCCCTCTGGAATTTTGTCTCTCTCCCCTTGTCAAAGTCCTAGGAGCCCACGGTGAGTGGGGCATGCTACTCAGTAAACAAGATAAGCACAGGCCACTTGTGCTTCTGCACTTGTCTGTAGTGAACAATTTCACATGGGTTTTTAACCACATCCAAGATTTTAAGTTAACATCTGCCATGATAAGTTCTTCATTACTGCCTATCCTACTTGATTTGGTTTTTCTCTTATGGTTAATAAAAACTAACAAAAATAACAAACAAACCCAAAAAAATGGAAACAAAAAAAGGGGGAATACGCAGAATTGTCAACAGATTAGGAATAAGTAAACTCATGTAAACCCTAGCATACCTTGCTTATTAGGCACGCCTTCTCTGTCAGGGATTATACATTTGAAAAAAGGCTTTGATGTTACTGGAAGGGGCTATGTTGGGAGAGAGGCAGATGCCAGCCACATCTCGAGCAGGACCTTTGATTGGGTGGAAAAGGTGTAGCTGTTCCCTGTACATTGGCAAGTCAGCACAATTGAAGCCCTCGCTTACCTTGCTCCCTGTGTAAAAGCTACACCCCTGTTGGCTCTGTACTCACAGGCTAGCAGGATCTGAATGACGAGGAGTTTGGCTGGAGGTCTCCCTCAGAGGCTGGCAGGAAAAACACAAGCTGTGGCAGCACTGAGCACTGTGTGTGTAACTCCAGGTGTCTGTGCAATGTTGTTGTTGTTGTTAGATGTCGCTGAGTTGACTACAGCTCACAGCAACCCTATTAACAGATCTGAACCCTGCTCTGCCCTGCACCATCCTCACATTCTCTGATACGCTCGAGTTCATTGTTACAGTCACTGTCATTCCATCTGGTTGAGGGTCTCCCTCTCTTCAACCTTTCCCAGCATGATGTGTAGTGTGCTTGATGAGGAAAGACAGGGCTAAAGCAGGTCATTTGACTCCTCAAGCAAGAAGCTCTCATAAAAGAAACACATTTTTCCTTTTTAATCTAATAACCTTTTGTGTGTTTGTTTGTTTATTTATAGTGAACACGTGAATGTGACATTTTTTAAAAAAATATTCACAGGCCCAGCATCACAGGCTCCACATGAGTCCAAACTGATTTTCCACCCCTCTCCTCTGAAACCCTTGTCCCAGCTCTTCTTGCCACGTCTGCCAAGTAGAGTTCCTCCAGGGTTACTTCCTACCTGACTTGAGTTTGTTTATCTTGGTTAATAATGATATAATAATAATAATAATAATAAAGAAGAAGAAGAAGGAGGAGGAAGAAGAAGAAGAAATAAGAATAATATCTAAGAACACAATTTCTCTTTCTTGACCAGGCAGTTCTATAACAAATATATTTTTCAATTTGTGAAACTCATTGTTGTTCAGTAGGAGCTGACTCTGCAGGAGATTACTGAGATTGTAAATTGCATGGAGGGAGACTGCCCATCTTTCCTTCCATCTGGTGGATTTGAACTACCGGAGGGGCTCTGTCTTTAACAGTGTAGTTCCTTATGGCCTATGCTAAGACATCAATTAGAAAAAGGAGAAACAAATCACAAAGCTTGTGTATTGGTTTTTCACCCTCTCTACAATGAAATATTTTCTTTTATATCACATACTTCAAGACGGAAAATTTGCATAACTTTTCCTAGGCAGGAAAGATAGGTTATGTACGATGCGGGTGAGAAGTGGAGAAAAATAGGCAAAAGAGAAAGAACATTTTAACAGACAGGATTTAAGAATTCAAATGAAGGTTGTCTTGCATTATCTCTTATCTGCCCTTCTCACTTCTCCAGTAGGCTCCCAAGTATTTCGAAGGCTAGATCAGTCTATTATTTATTTGTTTACTTTTTCAGTAATGGACAGGGTGAGCATATTACTATATCCCTAGATATATTTCCAAACTAGCATGTATTGAGGTACTGCTGAGTATGTTAAAAAAAATATCTAATTCACACCAAAGAGGACCCCCTCCCAATAAGTGTTTACAGATGAGAAAGCCTCGAATTAGAGATGTTAAGTAACTTGTTTGAAAGGTCATGCCACAAACCTCAAACCACTCCCACTGCCATCAAGTCAATTCTGACTTGTAGGGACCCTTCAAAATGGGAGGAGACTGCTCATCTTTCTCCCACACAGCTGTTGATGGACTTAAACTGTCAGTCTTAGGGTTAGCAGCCAATAGGCAGACCATGCTAGACTTCCTTAGAAAATCCAAGACTCCATCTCTTATCATTCTGATTCCAAACACTTAGACTAGAACCACTCAGTTGCTTTGCCTTCCTTTGGCCTGTAAATTCCAGGGGTGATTTGATCCTTTACATCTGATCTCTTTATTCTTGGGCATTGTCACCATTTGTTTGCTCGTGGATAGAAAACCTTGCAAAACAACCCCCATACAACTTTTGTTCTAATTAAAGAATTAACATGTGTCTTAGGAGCTGACATATACTGAAAACAGCCCCTCTGTTCACGCCTTACCTCATTGGATGCTGTCATGACATTTGTCTCAGAGAAGAGGCACAGAGGTGGCTAATTTTCCCCAAGGTCACAGAGTTCATAAGGAGCAGAAACTGCCTAACTATATGTTGTTATGTGCCATCGAGTCGTTTGCGACTCACAGCGACCCTGTGTACAACAGCCCTAAACCCTGCTCTATCCTGTGCCAATCGCATTGCCTTGACACACCCATCCCGATTACCCCAGTCACTGGATCAATCCACCCCATAGGTCTTCCCCTTCTGCGCTGTCCCTCTCCCTTACCAATCGTGATGTCCCTCTCCAAGGACCTGTCTCTCCTTACAACATGCCCAAAGTATGTCAGACGAAGCCCGAGAATCCTTGCCTCAAAGGAGTAGCCTGGTTTAACCCTCTCTAGGATGAATCTGTTTGTTTTCTTGGCAGTCCATGAAACATTCAATACTCTTCTCCAGCACCACAGCTCAAAGGCGTCAATTCTCCTACTTTTTTTTTATAAGTCACAGAAGTATAATGCCCAATGACCAGTAGAATTGACCCCAATGATTGAATCTCCTTGAGCACATCAGCAATCTTGGGTTGAAGAATGGCATCTCCCCCCCCCACCCCACCCCCACACACGCTGTTTTAAGAGTTCTTTTTGTGTATGGCCAGAGGCAGCTTTTGGCTCTACTTTAGCCCAGGGACACCCTATTGTTCTGATTAACAAGGACATGCTCTTAGATGAGATCACCACTGAATGTTTGCTAAACTGTAAACTGTAGACAGAAATACTTAACACTCGCTAACCTCACCTAATTGATTTACTGGCTAACCAGTGCTGCTTCGAAGTGAGTTGGATGTGCATCTGACTGGGTGGATAAATGATACAGACATCTAGTCTCTCTTCTTGCTGACCTTCCCTCCCTCTCATTCTTCCTGTCTTCTTTTGCCGTATTCATATGAGAGCGAAAGGGCTGGCTCACAATCAAGTATGCAATTCAATTATAAATGGACATACAAAACAGATTTGGAATGCTTTAAATGTGTTTGGCAGAAGTTTCCCTTTCTGACCACACCCTGCCCCCCCACCCCACACAAAGGATGACCAGTCCCGTTCCATGTTAATCCCCTTTGTTGCTATGTAGAATTCTCTCACAGAAGATTCTTTGGAGTAAGACCTCGGTCAAGGAGCCATGTAAAAGTAGGAGCCTATTACCTGGGAGAGATAATGGTGGTATCTGTTATTATG